CACACACACACACACAGTGAAGTCTCCACCAAACATGCTGTAACACCTGAGCTATGACATCATCACACTTACCTTCACATAGGAGTCACATGACCTCTGGGATTCTCCCATCAGCCCTCTGGCCTCATGGACTGCAGAGAGAAAGAGAGAGTTAACTTCCTGTCTGTGTGTCTGTCTGTNNACAGGGGCTGTGGGTGAGACAGGGTCTCTCTCACATTGTGCTGAGCTGGTTCCAACAGCAGCAGCACATGGCGGTAAAGAGACAGTGGGACATTTAAACTGTCTGTGTGTCTGTCTGTGTTTCTGTCTGTCTGTCTGTACAGGTATTGATTGTAATTGTTGGTGAAATGATGCAGATTAATGCAAATATCAATCAATAATCAATAATTAATCTCAGATGTATTCTAACTAAAGTAACAACCTGTTGATATTTGTGTAATTAAGTATTTGTACCTCTGACACATTGAAGGTCTTATAGATACATCATCATATATAATCAATATCATATAGATCTATTATTGTATTTAAATCAATCAGTTGATCATGTGTCTCAGTGTTTGCCCTTGTATGGTTTTAGGGGGTGTGGTCTGTGCTAGTAGCTGATTGGCTGTTTCACTTACTGTAAATGACGAGTTGTCCCGCCTCTGCAGTGATTGACAGTCGCAGCTGACCTATAGACAGAAATTATTGATCAGTGATCAATATCTGATCCATCTATTGATTACTTACTGATTGATTTATTGATCTCACCTCTTCCTCTAAACACAGACGGGTGGATCTTCCTCCTCCTCCTGGTCCTGGTCTCAGTTCTCCTACCCCCAGACCTAGACCTCATCCTGAGTTCCCCCCTCTCTGGACCCACGACTCTCTCAGACCTACTGGTCCTGTTCTCTGGGGATACCGCTGCAGTCCTCAGTGGACCCACTGTAGACCTGGATCTGACCTGGATCAGAGCACACAGGCAGATAAGTACACGGTTCAGGACCAGGATCAGACAGACTCCCTGTCAGAGGCTCTAACTGACCTCCAAGGTGGACTCTGTGGCCCTGGTCTGTCGGACCTGTAATGATCTCTTCTGATCCAGCTGGGTCTCAGTGGATCCTGGGTCAGTCTGGTCTGTCCTCCTGAGCTCTGCAGTCTGCACTGAGCTGTGGATCCTGGTCTTCCTGATCAAGGCCACTCTGACCTCAGGTCTGCAGGACCGGATCTCACCTCCAGACCTGAATCCAGATCCAGTCCTAACTGTGGTCCCGGTTCTGGTTCCAGATTGTAAAAACCTGCAGAAACACAACACCAGTGTTATTAGTGATCAGCCTGATCAATAATCAATCAATAATTCTCTGTTCTCACCGTCTGTGTGTTCTCTGTAGATCTGGTTCTCTGTTCTCCTCACAGCCTCCTGTTGTCGTCGTCGTCGTCCTCCTCCTCCTCTTCCTCTTCCTCTCCTCCTGCTCCTCCTCCTCTCTGCTCTCCCTCCTCCTTCTCCTCCTCCTCTCCTCCTCCTCCTCTCTGCTTCCATTCCTCTTACTCTCCTCCTCCTCCTCCTCCTCTTCATCAGCAGCAGCAGAGGAAGAGGAGAAACAGGATGCCCGATGAGTTCGATGCTGGGAGAGCACACCTGTTACCTCCAGATGTGTCTCCCTACAGAGGGGTCGGGGGGGGCCCACATTGTCCCGGCAGGACAACTGAATACTACTCGTTCACCAGTCCGACACACACACACACAAAGACACAATGGATGGACGATGAATGCCGCAGAGCACAACTATAATAAACCTCCGTCCTGATTGTTGGGGACACAGATGTGCGCAGATGTTTTTCCCTGTGAAGAAATGAGCACATTTTACATTTTTCATACTCACCAAAGTAGAAGCGTATCAGGCAGCCGGTCTCCGGGTTCAAACCCTCGCCCTGCACCCTCCACGGGTCTTCATAGCCCAGACTGGTCAGGTACTGGTTTAAGATCTGCAGGGGCCTCTCGTCGTCTCCCAGCCGCCGTACGGGTCCACCGTGCAGCTGGACGAACAGAGCCGGGGTCGGGTTAGTGTTGATGGGCTCCGGCCAGCCCCTGCTCCCCCCGGGGGCCTCCGGGTCGGGCTGGGCAGATGTTTGGCTGCTCAGGGGCCGAGTCTGGCAGCTGCTGGGGCACTTGGAGGGAGGCTGGATTAGTTTGGGGGCATCTACGGTGTCGCCGGCTCCTCCTTCAGGGTCACCCGGGGTGGTGGTGGTTTGGCTGGAAGCACTGCAGGGGCCCGAGGCGGAGGGGCCCGGTGGGTGGGTCGGAGAGGAGGTGAGGTCCACTTCATCTGAGGAGCTCTCAAACGGGTCGGGTCCCTCCGTGGCACTGTCACAGTTTGGGCTCAGCGCGGAGGAGTCGGTGCTCCTGAAGTCCTCACAGGTGCTGCTCTCCATATCGGAACCAGAGTGGACCCCGTAACAGTCCGCCACCCCCGGGCTCAGGTCCACCCCGCTGTGGTTCCGATGGAGCTCAGAGGAGGAGCTGCTGCTGGCGGGTTTACCGTCCAACAAGTTATCAGACAGTTTAGTTTGAGGGTAATGCTGCTCGCTGAGACTGTCGGTGTCCTCAGTCTGCCCGTTCATGTCTTTACAGTTGTCGTTTAAGTCAACTAAAGCACTAGTTTTGTAGTTAATTCTCAACACGGCCCCGGCTTTGCTCCCTTCCAGTTTACCGGCGACCTCTCGAGCAGTGGTGTCCGCCGTGCAGAGCACCGGCCGCGGGTAGGAGGGCGTGAGCCAGTCGTGGACGTGAATGCATCCCCGCCGGAGGTCCGACCTCACCCACGTCTTATCCGAGGCCTGGAGCTGCTTTGACTGCTTCTGCCGCAGAAAAGTCCTCCTGTCCAGGCTGAGGGTGCTCAGCGGCGAGACAGTGGGAGCGGGACCGGCCGCCTCCACGGAGGA